TCTCTGTCTCTCTCTGTCTTTTGGGCGAGTGCAGTGCCCTATAGCAAAAGGCCCCCCCCCCCAAAAAAAAAGCACTCTCTCTCTCTCTGTCTCTCTCCTCCTCTCTCTCTCTCTCTGTGTGTATGTGTGTATCCCCAAAATCCAGACAGGAGAATAAAGAAGAAGGGATTACATAGTGCCATCCTCCCTAGGGGATGATTTCTCACTTTCCCTCTCTCTGGTGAGTATATGTGCCCTATGGGGGGAAAAAAAAAAACTAAAGAAAAAAAAGTAAATAGCCTTCATAAAGTGTATTTCTGATTATTAAACATTTTAATAATGTTTAAAGTAGACATAATAAAAAAATAACCGAAGATGCTGAAAATCCACACAATAGCCAACAAGATTCCATGTGATTTGCCATATTTGACCCCCTCTAATTTATCCCTCTGACCCCTCTTCTACCACTCATCAATCCCAACAACGTGCCAGTCATACTACTGGCCTCCCAGCTGTTCTCATGGCAGGGTTACCTCAGGACCTATGTATTAGTTATCGTTCCCTTGGTTTAGGACTTTCTTCTTCCAGATATCATGGTTAACTTGTCTCCTTCAAATCCTTGCTCAGATCTAACCTTTGTATGAGACCTATATTGATCACCCTATTTTAAATTACAACCTACATCCCTTATACTGGGTCATTGGAAAAGTTGTGGCATACTTTTCTATGCAAAAATGTGTCACAACTTTTCCAATGACCAAATATATACACATACTCTGATTCCCTGTACCTCTGCTTTATTATTTCTTTTTTCCATACAATTTAATACCTTCTAACATACTCTATCCAACATACTGACTACAACTTCTTGAGAGACCTTGAACCACAACCACCCAAATAAACTGTTCCCAAATTCCTGAGTCACAGAAATCATAAGATAATAAATGTTTGTTTTAAGCCAATAAATTTTGAGGTAATTTGTTACACTGCAATAATTAACTAACACAGTTCCCACTAGAACAAAAAGGCAGGACTCTTTTTTCATTGCTATTTGGTAGAACAACATGAAATCACCATTGTTGCATGTCAAAAACAGTTGACTATTGGCAAATTCATATAAATCAACCCAATATATCTCATAGAAACAGTAGCTTCCTCTGGTGAAGGGAAATGAGTGGTTAGAGGATAAGAGTTGGGACAAAGAATGTTTAGTGTATAAACTTTAGTACCTTTTATTCCATATGGTATAAAAATGATTATTATACCATCTTAGTTTTGCCAAGTTCAGAGAAAACTTGAACAGAAAATGCTGCTAAATGACCCCTTGTGACTAACAAAGTAGGATGATTAATGGACTTTTCTAACTTCTCCAACTTGTTTCTGTGAAACTTTGAACAAGTGGACCACCCTATCTATGGTATTCTGTTATACTGGGTCATCGGAAAAGTCATGATGTATTTTTCTATGTTTTTCTACACAAAAATGGGTCATGACTTTTCTGATGACTCATAGTAGCCTGAACTAAGATTATCTACACTGGGTCAGCCAGTGGCATGGTGGTTAAGATGCTGAATCCCACATGGCCAACTCAACGGTTCAAGTACAGGACCCAGCAGTTTGAGTAACACACCAAGTATGTATGCATCTGTGCCCGAAATCCCGAGACTAGACTGGAGGAAATGGACTGCAGTGTGGCCATCCCCCCTGGGGGGTGATTTCTTACTTTCCCTCTCTCTGTCTGTCTTTCTAGTAAGCGCACTCACCCTATGGCAAAAATATGAAACATAAAAAAAAGGAAAACATATATATATGTATATATATACACACTCCTTTTTAAAAATTGAATGCTACAAAATTCCCCCTTTTAAGGTATAAAGCACAGTAGTTTTTAGTACCACAAAGTGTGCTATTTTAACAACTATATATATTGATAGTTGCAGAACATATTCATTACCCCAAAAAGTAATCCTATACCCATTAGCAGTTGGCCCCAATGTCCCTCTATTCGCAGCCCTTGGCAAAAAGTGATTTACTTCCTATCTCTATGGATTTGACTACTCAAGTCATTTAATATAAACAGATTCATTCAATAGTGGCCTTTTGTATCTGGATTCTTTAACTTAGCATAATGTTTTCAAGGTAATTTAAATGTACTTTGATCAGTACCCAGTGATTCTTAAGAAATTACTGTTAATTTGAAAATCCATACTATATCCCACAAAGACGTACAATTAAATGCAAATAATAAATCAAAAAATAAAACAAAAAAGGAAATAGTGTTAAAATATAACCTATCTTAGGCCTGGCCCCATAGCACAGCAGTTGCGCACCATGCATGGGGAGCCAGATTGCACATGGCCAGTCATAGTCAGAATCCTGATTCTGATGGTATGAGGGATACACTGGACACCTGTACATGCATGCATGCGCAGGATCCTGACGGATAGAGAAGTAGAGGAAGGG